CATCCAATAAAGGATGGAGATTCTCCTTAGCCCTCCTTTTGTTGCTAATGTATTTGTAGAAATATTTTTATGGTCTTTTACGGCAGTAACCAGATCAAGTTCTAGTTGGGCTTTGGCTCTTCTAGTTTTCTCCCTGCATAATCTCACGACAACTTTGTGGTTGCCTGCCCTTTTTTCCAAAGGTCATAAACTCTCCTTTTTTTCCTGAGTTCCAGCCAAAGCTCTCTCTTCAGCCAGGCCGGTCTTCTCCCCTGCTGCCTTGTCTTTTGGCACATGGGGACGGCCTGCTCCTGCGCCTGTAAGCTTTCCTTCTCGAAGAATGTCCAGCCTTCCTGGACTCCTTTGCCCTTCAGGACTGCCTCCCAAGGGACTCTGTCAACCAGGCTCCTAAACAGGTCAAAGTCTGCCCTCCAGAAGTCCAAGGTGGCAGTTCTGTTGACCCCCCTCCTTATTTCTCCAAGAATTGAAAACTCTATCATTTTGTGATCACTATGCCCAAGACAGCCTCCAGCTGTCACATCACCCACAAGTCCTTCTCTGTTCACAAACAAGAGGTCCAGCGGGGCACCTTCCCTCGTTGGCTCACTGACCAGCAATGGCACATCCTTACAAAAAGTCTTTGCTTTTGTTTTATAGTGATGTGCTCTGCCTATGACACACGTTTTGCTCAATTTTCCTTCAGCAGAGTCTGTATGAGACAGAATTTATCTGTCTATTCAGAGAATCCCACTCCAAGTAGCTATCTTTTACAGGATTGTTTTTCTGTGGTAACTTTGCATTAGCCCATCTTCATCAGTACCAAGGTAGGCAGAAATTCCTTACACTTGCAGACCCCAGAAAATAGATTCATAATATTTTTCACTTCACTAAACACATGACACCCCATGCAGAGATTTATCATAGTGATGACACATCTTATTAGAGAGGTTGACTCATGAACCAGCTCCCTTCCCATTTGTGATCACGTAGCATCTCACTGGCAACTGTAGCAATTGCGATATTAGGCAAGTATTTAGAGTTTTTACAATTTTTTTCGTGACACTTGCCATCTGGAACCAAGGTCAAGAGATAACATCATATAGCTCATTGGTCCATTATAATAACTGAAAAGTGATTTGTAGACCACAACTGGTCCATGTGTCACAGTTTGAGAGTTCTGATTTAAAAAAAAAAAAAAAAAGAACAATCATTACTAAAATATTTTATTCCAAAACAGAAGACTTCAAAAAATAAAAAAGCAATAGCCTCTCCCAGGATACTAGAAACATCCTAATGGCGTTGGTAGACATGGTAGAAAGAGGCACACTGCACTCTTCTGTAGAGGCAACCAGAAGCCAGGCAAGATAATTTTGGCCTCTAAAATGACTCTAACAACCAATCACTAGCAATTGCACTGCATATGCAGTTTTTCTGCTGCTTATCCCCATATAACACAAAGCTGGTTTTCCCCTTGAAAACAAACCCTTTTCCACAGTTGCATTCCTCAGTAGAAAGAAAAGACAGTCTGCTACCTGGGGATGTCATTACTTTGAGATTATCATTTAGGAGCATTAGGAGATAGTTTTAAAGTTAAGATGGCCTGCAAAGAAAGAACATGACTTGGGTACCTGTTGTTTCATGTGTTCATGTGCTTTGAGGGATGAAGTTAGAGATAAAAACTATCACATGAAACATGTTCTGCTTTCTCTGTCTCCATTCCCCAGAGGACCCACCAATGACTTAGAAACCTGATGTAAGAAGCGCAAGAACATCCATACAGGGTCAGAGCGAAGAACCAAGTCGTCCAATACCATGTCTCCAGAAGCAGACAGTATTCTTCCAGAAGGAGGACAAATTTGTATTTCAGTTTCTGGTGTATTACTGCGGGGTTAAAGCTGTACGCTGGGCTCATTGTGGGCAGGAGAAGGTGCAGTTCCTTGCGGTGAATGCACAGCAGCTCCTACAAAGAATGATGGACAAGTGGTTTTGGAATTGCAAGGGGAAGCCAGTGAGTTTGCTGCGCAACTAGAGCAGAAGTGCATCACCGTGTATATGGATTGGTATCTGGATGCCTGGAGCATGCCTTCAGAGGCCTACTGCTCCAGGGAAGCACCAACATGAGGCCAAATCCCAGCATCTTCTAGTACTGCTGCTTCTTTGCCTGAGTGGGTGACTCCAGAACTAACAGGAAATTACTTTCTTCAATGGAAAGGGGTGACCCGTTTGACTAGCTAGGAGTGAAATTTAACTCAGGACATTTACATGATGTTTCCAGCCCCTGATGCGGCAGAGCAATACACCCTCACTCAACCCTTAAGAAGAAAAGAAGCAAACAATATCAGATGCTAAGGGAAGAGTGCCAGAACAGGACGAACATCGCAACAGAAGTCCAAATATTCTGCTAGAGAGCAGCACTCTATGGCTCAAGCATTTCCTAAGCTAAAGGTGATGTCTTTATGTCTACTAGCCTTCAATGGATTTTTCTTCCACAAATTAAGGAACTTACGTCTAGGGAATGGAAGAAGTAGCTAGAATTGAAAGTTTTCAGAAGCAGAGATTTTTCTCTGTTCTTGTAAAAAGCTTGAGTTAAATGGGAATTAACAGGAGAAAGAGAAAAAGCACAAATAATTTGGAACAGTCAAATATAGTTATATGGAATTTTTCGTCTAAAGATTTCAAAGTTCTGTTCAAAGGAAGCAGGTATTATTATTCCCACTGTGCAGACAGGCAAAATGAAGCCCATAAATATACAGATACTGACCAGAAGTCATGTAGCTATCTGTCGTGGTTTAACCCCAGCCAGCAACTAAGCACCACACAGCCACTCACTCACTCCCCCCGCGGTGGGAAGGGGGAGAGAATCAGAAGAGTAAAAATGAGAAAACTCATGGGTTGAGATCACAGTTTAATAAGTAAAGCAAAAGCTGTGCACACAAGCAAAACAAAACAAGGAATTCATCACTACTTCCCATCGGCACACAGGTGTTCAGCCATCTCCAGGAAAGCAGGGCTCTATCACATGTAATGGTTACTTGGGAAGACAAACACCACCACCACTCTGAATGTGGCCGCATTCCTTCTTCTTCCCCCAGCTTTACATGCTGATCATGATATCATATGGTATGGAATATCCCTTTGGTCAGTTGGGGTCAGCTGTCCCTGCTGTGTCCCCTCCCAACTTCTTGTGCACCCCCATCCTACTTGCTGGTGGGGTGGTGTGAGAAGCAGAAAAGGCCTTGACTCTGTGTAAGCATTGCTCAGCAATAACGAAAACATCCCTGTATTATCAACACTGTTTTCAGCACAAATCCAAAACATAGCCCCATAAAAGCTACTATGAAGAAAATTAACTCTACACCAGCCAAAACCAGCACATTATCAAATAATAGAACTGGACATTTATTTCAGAACTCAACAAGTGGGATTTTTTAGATGAATAATAAAGTCACTAAACAAAAATCCTAATATTTCAAAGCTTATGTTGATAGTGGGGAAGCCAGGAATGCTTCCAAGATCTGTCTGGGTCTACTTCAACACAAGAGCTGAACAGACACCATCACACCATCACTGCTTCATGCTTTCCTGTTTTTCATGCAAAGTAAATCCAGACATGCAACATGGGAAGCAGCCACTGTGTACACTATCAGATCCCAGCCTGGGCTACTGGAGATCAGGGCTGAGGAGTTTTTACTGTTTTGCAGTACAGGCACAGCTACAGGAACCACAACCAGTTGCAAATTCTCAGCTGCAAATATTTGTGGCCAGAAAATAGGAAGGGAGACGAAACGTTAAAATTGTTTACAAAGATTTCACTGCAGTATTTTTAAAGGAAGTACTTCCTTTGAAAAGTGATAAAATAGTTCAGAATAAAATTTTTAGCCTTTTCAATTTAAAATACTAATTTCCATTTCCATTCTTCCAAGAAAAATGACCCAAATTTTAAAAAAAGACAGCTTGAAGTAAAGCACAAAATTTTTCATTTTGTTTGGGTTTTGCTTGAACTACAAAACTATTTTTAAAAATCTGCTTGAGATTTTTCCCAATGCTTGGGTTTGATCACTGAATCAAAAAAACCACCTTATTGTTTGCCTAGTTATGTTAATGAGTCCCAGCCCAATGAGCTAACCTTTAAATCACACAACCTCTTCATTAGTCTCTCAGAATGCTGCAAAACCTTTAATTCTTTTGCCTCTGAAAGATTCTCTTAGCAGAACTTGAAAGCAAGACTTTTTATCTCAGATATGATCAAAATTTTAATTATTTTCTCAAGTACTTGTCTGTCACATACATAACAGGAAATATCAGCAGAAAATTGATTTGACAGACACTAATGTTGCATGTTCACCAGTTCACCAAATTACACCAGCCATGTTATCGCAAAGGGCATGAATGGTTCTGGCCCTACAGTAAACCGAGGACACCTAATGTGGTCTAATTAGGACAGCAGTACACAGAGAAGTAATACAGTCTTAAATGAGGGTTAGGGTGTCATTCAGTGAGTCAGTTAAGAGCTTTGTTTTGTGGATGGACTTTCACACACTTTTCTATGTATTTATGTATTCTAACGTTTTGAAGAACTAAGGCCTAAATATATCCAGTTATCTAAAAAATGTCATGGATAAAAAATCCTGTTGTTGTTTTGTGATTTTGTCTTTTTTTCTAGCTGCTTGCAGGTGGCATTTTTAAGCACTACATTTAAATCCCATGTTTCACTTATGCCAAAAAAATTTCTAGACGCTTGGCAATATTGTTAGCTTTTTGTTGTGCAAGGTAAAGCAAAAAAGTAGAAGTTTTTGTTTTATCTCCCCCTCACCCTTGAAGTGTTCTTCTGGAGGTAAAGTATAAAAAATTCCATCAATGAGGACCACAGTGCACAGTGGTTGGTATTGGTGATAAAGATTACATCTTTAAAACCCAAAGACATAAGATACACCATTACTGCAGGAACTTTAAGAGCAAGGAAGCAGAAATGAGCTTTCAGAATAGAAGGTGGTTTTTGGTTTTTTTTTTTTATTCCTGCT